GAGGCCTTTTTGTGGGTGATGCTCAAATGAGGCCCAAGAGAGGATACAGTGTAAGGAAAGTACGTCAAAATAAAATACAGTAAGTTTTAGATTTCTTGTGTTCTGCTTAAAGAAGTTCAGTTCACAAAGAAGTAGAAGTAGTAGAAGATCTTGCAAGCAGTGAGTAAAATACTGTAAATGTTGCTTTATTTTGACCTGTAATTTCTGTGTCCAATCAGTCCCATAAAGTATGACACTATTTGCATGATGTGAGGGTGTCAGTGTAGGCATGTCAAGTTTGACATCATGATGTTCATTGCAGTTTGATGAGTGATTAGTCAAGTTGTTTTTCACTTTCTTTTCTTTCCTGTATTTCTTGTGTTTCCATTTTCGACAAGGAAGTGTCTCTAGGAATTAATCATTCCTTTCTTCTACTTATATCCTCCAATATATATGTATATAAGCACAGTATATTCAAGAATTTTCTGCAGACAGCAGTGGACAGTATAATGTAGATATCAACAGATATTTATATTTAGAGTTTACTTTAATTTGTCCTTTTTAAAGGGGAGGTTCTAGAGACATATTCATGGAGTGGCAAGAGGTGAAGACTTTAAGGAGTAGCAGAAATATATGCTGATATAATCACAAACAATCACATATATCAATATTTGCTTTGAAAAGCCCCCAAATGACTACAAAAGCACCCACCTGTCAGTCAAAGCGGCCATATGCTCATTTATGCCTAACTTTAAGCCTTAACATAATACAGGTGAGTTATGTAAACCCCATACAGTTGTCATGAACGGAGACCTAAAAGTTGTTTGTACCAGGCTGTAAACATGTTTATATCTGCCCTAAAGTTAGGTGTTTTAATATGGGGCCTTATGGAGATTGATCACTTCTGTAGCCAGCCTCAAGTGGCCATTTGAGGAACTACAGTCATTGTTACTTCAGTGTTGACTTCAATTACCAGCCACAGAAATTGCCACTTGGTTGGCACCTACAAGTGATATCAGAACAGTTGGCTGCGAAGAGTAAAACTTGCTACAATGGGGAATATTCACGTATACTTATTTGTTTTCACTTTTTTATGCATTGGTCTTATTTCATCCCCTCATTCATTCGTGTGGCAGCAAACCAGAGCGGGGTGACTCCTGTACAATGCTTCAACTCAACAGTCCCCCCTCCGTCTTATCGTGCCCTGCAGCTTGACTTGATCGGGCAATATAAATTGGACTTGCCCAGAGGAGAGACGCCGGTTCCTCTTTTGGGTCTGCACATTGTTTCGTCTAGGCCTGTATTTATTTAGATGTAAATCAGCTTGCAAAGAGTGTTACGTCCTGTCCTTGTGTAGTGGGCGGTGGACTGGGACTCATTTGTTGGAGGAAGTCAGCCCCATCGAGATTGGAGCTCTGCAGATTGTTTTCCATTATAAGGCTGTTATTGATGTGAGGGGGTGACATCATGTAGCCTCACCCCTCAAGGCAGGGTTGGTGAGAAAGAGCTCCCACACCCATTTCTTATTCATTACTCAGCACAGTGAGGATGCTGGACTTTTCTGTACTCTGTACTTCTGTGCATTTTAAGCTGCACTGCGAAAGGGCTCCTCGCCACCTGAAATCATCACACAGGATCAGAACATGCTGCAAATCAATGAGTTTTTAAAACACAATGAAGCACAAGAAAAGCATTAAATGATTACATCTGAGTTGTTAAAGGAATAAAACTACATTTTGAGAAGCAAGCTTATTTAAGCTACAGCTGGTTAGCTTAGCTTAGCATAAAGACCGGAAGTAGGGACAAACAGGTAGCCTGTCCAAAAGTAATAAAATCCACCCTACCAGCATTTCTAAAGTTAAAGTACCACTCAGAAATAGGTTTTTCATCTTGTTCCTACACTTGGATGTTTGAGCTGTACAAAGTTTGACACTAAAAGGATGTTTCCACCTTCATCTGCTGAAAGTGGAAAGTTTTTCTGTGCTAATTGAAAATCTGATTTTTAAGGGGTGGGGTCTACAATACTGGAATTTAGAAGAAGGTAGGTAGAAGAAGTAGATGCATTTTTTAGGATTTGAATTACTTTTTTAAATTTTATTTTAAATACGTTATTGTCCCAAGCAGACTATTTGTTTATGTCGTAATACATCGTCTGGAGGGGATATTTAATTAAAGGTGGTGGATCTGTAGTCTAAATGGAATATAATATTTATAGGTATTTCATTCATGTATAATAAAAATAAGAATTGGTGTGTTTTTGTTACTGTAGAGGGTCCTCCACAGAGTCCGCCATGCTGAATCACCATGTTTCTACAGTAGCCCAGAAGGGACCTTTTGCATTTTTCATGAGGTTCCCATAGTCCTTTCTCCTACAGGCTTGGAAGGAAGAGTGGTATTCAGTTGGCTGTAATCTGCAACATCACTGCTAGTTGCCACTAAATCCACACAGGTCCTTTAATTCACACTTAATAGCTTGTTTGTCCAATCTTTTAGCAAAAAACAACAACAGGGTTTTATGTGCTGGACTGTTTTTTAGCCAGAACAGTAACTTCCTGGAGTCCCGGCAAGGAAACTCTGGCACACAACCACTTGTAAAACGACAAATCTTCATCTTATTTTCATATTTGCAGTCCAGATAGCAGAGAGCAATATCAATCTCCTCTTATGTAAATCTCAACAAGAAAGTAAGTGGAAAAACTATTCCTTTTTTCTGCACCTCCTGAAGTTTTGAGTGGGAGAGTTAATTCTTAGAGTTTCCAAAGGCATCTCAGTCTGTTGATTGTGTAGTTGAAAGCTCCACACACACTTCAAGTTTTGTTTACATCAGTAATATTTAGTTAGCAGTAAATAGTCATGTTATGTTTTAGCTGAGATCAGTGAAGAAACAGACACAATGCAGATTTTTTTTATCTGTAAAAAGGCTTTCATATAAGGAAATACTTACAGTTTAAATGGTCTTTTCTGATTGTATTGACTTAAAGGGTGCAGAATAAACTAATACAATATTTTCAGCTTGTTCTAACACAGAATAACACACAAAACATGCTGCCCTTGATGAATAATACCCTCCTCCTTGGAGCCAGTTAGTAACAGTTACATCACCTTTATTTGACCTGTGACTGGTGAATCCCCCTGAGCCAAACAGTGTAATGTTAAAAACCCCCAAAACACGGGGGTAGAGCCCCATGCACTAAGGCTGAGTCCTTGCTGCAGCAGGGTTTGAATCCAACCTGCGGCCCTTTCCTGCGTGTCATCCCCTCTCTCTCTCCTCCTTCATGTCACTCTTCAGCTGTCACTATCCATTAAAGGTAATAAACAAGGTTAATAAAACAAAAAAAATGACCAAAAAGATATTGATCAGGGTTATATGATGAGACCAAACTAAATTCTATACACACATAAAACTGTTGCAGTGGTACAGTGGTGCAGCGCTAGCAGCAAGACAGCTCAAGGTGCAAAATCCACCTGCTCTCCTTGATTGTGGCTCTAAATCACCCGTAGGTTTGAATGGTTGTCAGTCAATATATACCAGGTCTCTAATAGACTGGAGACATGTCCACAATGTACCCAACATTTCCCCCCAATGTGATTTTGGCTCAGGATAAGCAGGTATAAATAATGGAAGGGTATACATGTATAACATGTATATGATGCTCTAGTGGTTTGTAGACAGATAGGATATTAACGTGTCATTTAACATTTCCAATTTCCTTTAACTCTCAAGATCTCTTTCTTTTAATGTGCTCACAACATTCTCACATGAATAAAAAGGCAATTTGGCTCTTTCTGCACCCCACATACATGTTTGTGCCAATTCACACACTCTGATGATGGATAAACCAAAGAATCCCACACACTGTCCATCACTTGTGCTCAGTTTATTAGCAACGTCCACAAACTCTGAGGACCGAAACATTGTTGATCCCAGAAGCCCTCACCAAAGGTTCCTTTAAGAAACATGTTAAGACTCATCTTTATTATTTTACTTTGAAGTAGTCTTTATCGTGGCTTTTAATGAATCTTACTGCAAGTTTATTTTTATTTAATTCAATGTCATTTTATATTTTAGACCTATTATTTTTCTGTATGTTAATGTTTTGTTTACATACACATATTGATGTAAAGCATTGTATGTATGAACGGTGTTATAAGAATAGTTTATTACTACTGTAAAACTTAAATTAATAGCCCAGGCTTTTATTTGCTTCAATCACTGAACTCAACCTGCCTATATTTGGGACAGACCCTATATGGGACTTTATTTTTGCACAAAACTCCTTCTCAGTAAAGATGAGAAATACTATTACATTTTTATTTAAACCAATTACGAGTAATTCATTTGATACTTTGGTGTTCCTGCTTTCCATAAAATGAACTGAACTGATTGAACTGTGGACAATCTCACTGATCTAAGGATGTGTAGCATATATGTCTATATGTCTACATGTCTATACTGACAAATGTTTAAACATTTATATTTGTGAAGGAGATTTCAGCAGCTAGAACTCGATCAAGTGGGCAACCCGGTTGGCTTTAAGAGGTTTTATACATCTAAATAATTTCTATAAAATCCAGAAGAAGGCTCTAACTGAGACCTGTGTTTATTAATCAAAACGTGTAGACACACTAGTTTAGTAAAGGAACCCTGCTTTTAATTGGGGCTCAGCTTTTTTAAATTTAAATTTTTTATCTTTATTTATAAAAAAATATAGTCAGAATCAATTTAGTTTTTTAATTAAGAGCAATAAACTATTATTAAAAGGATGAAAACTTTAAGGAAAGGTATTTTAAGGTATTTTGTGTTTTGATAACACTGTTATGGGTCATGTGAGTAACTTCCCAAACACAGCCTGACTGTTCATATTAATTATTATTTTATTTGTCGGAATTAATATTTATATCGTAAAAATGTAAATCCTCTAAACAACATTTATTATCTATACAACTGTTCCATGAAAAACGCTTGAGTCAGTGTCCATATAAAAAGACACACCAACCTCCTTTCCTCTCAACCCTCATGCCATCCTACGGTTCTCATGTCCTCTCCCGGCTACCGTAGAAATTCCTCCGCTGTCAGTTAGTGTGCGGTGACAGACAACCATCGGTGAGCCACCCATCCAGCTCCAAGTGTTGAACTATGGAAGAGATCAATAACATTGAAGTGGTTCCGTGCACAGAGTCGGACTACCTGAAGCCGTTCAGGGTGCACTACAACCAGGTGAGTCCTGTGTGATCACCGGTGATAGAGAGGAGGCTGGAGGCTGTGGGGCTAGCCCAACCCCCCATTCATTTGCAGCTAGCAGGCTAGCATAACATGAAGGCTAAACTGACCTTAAACACAGACAGGTGACAGCAACAATTTACCCTTTTTTGTTTTTGTTTTAAAAAACACAACGACAGACCCCGCCGTATCCGCTGTGTTTTCACGTACGGTGGCTCAACAGTTGCCTTTGCGTTTGGACGCGAAGCAGAGACAGCTAAGAGTCAGCTATGAGCTAGCATGCTAACGTTAGCTAGCTGAAGAGGGGTTTTTTTTTTTTTTTTTTTTAGGTTGAGCATCACGTTAACGTTAGCACATGCTTTACATTAGTGTGAGGAGGGTGGTGGATAACGTGGTTCACGCAGCGTTACGTGATAAGGACAGATGTGTGTCGGTCTGTAGAGGCAGGTCAGGTGAGACAGATTGACTCCCATGTGAATGCTGTGTGTGTGTGTGTGTGTGTGTGTGTGTGTGTGGGTCAGAGGTCCTGACAGTTCAGGTTAACATGGAGCTGAACTGTCCATGTATACGTGGAACAGTGTAGTGTAGTGTTGCCTTGTTCAAAGCCTATAGGAATGTATTGTTAAAGCTAGAGTAGACGCCTGTTTTACCACACTCACAGTGAAAGTGCAGGTCTGGAATATGCATACAGCTCAGGACAGCTGCAGTCATTTACATAAGTGTGGATTTATTTAAAGGTGTAGATTCAGCTAATCTCTTAATCAATGCTGCTTGTGTTGACAGACGACAATCTTTTTAGTTATTTTTCAGTCCCTCCAGTACAGTTACGATGTTGCAGTCCTCATGGATTATGCACCACCTTGCAGTGTTGTTAAACTTTTCTAAACTTTTTTTTTTACCAATCATTGTTGTTTCCTGCTATAAATGTTGAGCCACACCCGACCAGACTCACTCCCTTGCTTCTAGTTGTGAAGATGCAGAGCATGCAGATGTCTCACATCTACCCCGTCCAAACAGTGCGACAAACTGCCTTCGATTTTTAATTCTACCAAAACAATCAGAACCATTTCACTTTCACTTTCACTTTCTCCTTTAATTTCATTGTAAAAAAAAATGTGACATGCATTGCAACAATCCCAAATTGATTTTTATTTCATCATTCATAACTTAATAATTACAAGTTTGTTTGGTCTTTCCACACCATTACACTGACCAAGTGATAGATTCCTGAAGTCATCAGCACCAGATATAAAGCAATAGTAAAGATCTGCATGTTGCTGACTTTGAATATGACCAAAAACTTTGATTTCCTTCTTGAAGCATACTGGATCCTGCACATTCAAACCCAAACACATATTTCTGAATGAAGCCTTTAACGATTGCTCTTTGCTAGATGAGAAAGTGGTTTGATGAGTTTAATTTGTCGAGATTTGTTGATGTTAGTATTTAAAGATCGGTGCTGATACTGATCATCCTAAGCAGGCTGGATATCAGCCATGATGTGACACATCCACATTGACTACAGCTTATTTGTCAATGTCTTTTATAAAATGCATTGTTTCTGCTATCAGTTACATTCATTCGAAGTAATTCACAACAACCTCTGGCCTCATGTTACCCTGAATAAATATGAATCCATGTAGTTAGATACAAAGATTTAGATTTGGGAAAAAGAGAGCAGGGTGTCAAACTCTGTACCAGGAGAGGAAGAAATTGGATCAGTGTTATTTGTGTTGGTGCATATTGTAAGTGTGTGTGTTGTATATTCACAGAAACATAAAGTATGTGGAGATTTACGTACATGTTGGTGGGGTTAATTTTGTATATATGGACAAAGTTACACATTTGTTTCACGTTCTGTATCATCAGTTATGATGTTAACTCAAGGGACTTTCTGCTCATACGTCTCCTCTTATATACTTGTTGTATAGATTCAGTATTCCCGTAGAACTACATTGGCACATTCATGCCACTATATACTGCTGGTGCAGGGCTTGAGGGTGCAGGTATATTCACCGTCCATCCATCCATCCATCCATCCATTCATTCATTCGGTGGCAGGCAGAGTAATTGTACATTAGCTGCCTCAGTGTTTTGTAGTAAATGGGCCTACATTGTTAACTACATACAGGAAATTGAAACACAACTCAAATTCATTAAACTATGCTTGACTTGTCTGTGTTTTATAGGTTCGTCATTAAAAAGGTTTTTTTTTTTCCTACTAAAAGAAAATTAAGTGTGATAACTGCGTGTCCTGATGGTCTCCAGCGAAGTGAGAAATGTTTCCTCACCCAAACATAGGCTGCAGTCCAGGATGAATTTATTTTTAGGTTTCAAAATATTTGTGCAATTTCTCTGTTCCTGGCTTCTGTTGTGTGAAATCTGGATGGTGACAGTGGTGCAGAATAAGTATGGCACAACTCACTCCTAAAACCTCAGAAATTACATGGACATCTGCTTTACTTACACTTTAGATGATAATAAGATGTTATTTGACCCAGTCTTACTTTGAATAAAGGCTGTTTTGTTCAGTCTGGGCTGGTAACAAACGCTCAAAGTGGAAAAGACTATTTAAATTGTTCTCGTAGTGAAGAAGACACTGCAACTGGCGTACATCTATGATTTGAAGTTACTCTTTTGTAGTGTTGCTTTCCATTTAATAAAAAAAAAAAAAAAACTCTAGTACGCAGACACTCATGTTAAGGGGAGCTCAGTGAGAAGGTTTTTTTTTTTTTTCCCATTTGGGGTTCACACCTGTGACAGCAGAGGAGGGTGTGGGGTGGGGTTAAGCTTGTCAAGAGAATGGCGGAACGGCTAAGACAGCAGATGGACAACAAAGGAGATGATGGTGGACTCCCTCTCCATCCTGTCCTCCCTTTCATCCTCATCATCTCTCCTGTGCAGCTCGGGAGGGGCTGGGGGCTGTCCAGGGACTCCCCACAAAGGCTTTTCAATCACACTGAGGGAGCATCTCTTCCCCAAAACCTTTTATGTTCATCAGTGCATCTGCAGCTTAGCCACTGGTCACTAACCGAACCCTATTCACACACACAGAAACACACTCTTAAAAGTAGATGTCATGTCATGCGCAAGAGGGTCTCTTCATCATTAGTGTTTACTGGTGTTTTGTCTCCTCTCCCTCGCCTCACTCTACAAAGCAGGTGATTGTCCCTCGTTGACTCTGGGAAACCCCTCTTATCTCTGTTGTCTCGTGCTAACGTGGAATCACGGGTTGCTACTTAGAGCAGGATGATTACCTTCCATTTATTCATTAGAATGATTTGAATTATTCATCTGGAATTATTTATCTCACATAGCTTACAGCCCCAGTGGCCCTAGTACTCCTTCAATGAATATGACATCCATTCTGATCTTAAAACACACATTTTCTCACATGAATAGTTATTCATTAGCTTGAGTCATGGCAGTAAAATTGCATGTATGTTCTGTAGGCGGAGAGAAGGATTGTGTGTTAGTTTTAAAACTTTGATATATGCCAGGGCAATAATGTGTGGGACAAAATTAGTTATTGAAGGTTTTGTTTTATCCAGTGAACATTTGTGTCTAAAGTAATGATTAAGAGTGGAACACACACTGTAAAACATCTGGTTCGACCTAAAAACAGAAGTTTCCCTGCTGCCTTTTAAACATGAGTTCCCTGAACTAAAGTTTAATTTTTTTACTTCAAAGTTGTCAAACAATACATGTCTTGTATTTGAATGTTTGTTCAAATCATTATTTAAAGTCAAAATACTTATAATACTAGTCTTTAAGAACTCATGTCTATAAGCTCTGAAGTGGTCTGAAAATAAGATAAGATTTGTTTATTACACTCAATTCCTGTATGATGTTTTAACAGTGAATGAAACATCAGTGTGATCATTCTTTGCCATCATGGTATAGATTAATATTGATTCATATAAAACAACACAAAACAAGACATTGACACATAGCATCAACAAACAGACTTCTGAAAACGAAAGTATGAGGCATAAGGAGGCATGTATTAAATATTAGTCTATGAAATTTCAAAAATTCCCATTACAATTTTCTAGAGCTCAAGATGAATATTTCTCTGGCCAACAGTACAAAAGCCACATATATTCAATTTAAAGTTGTATAAACCAGAGAAAAGTCCCCAAGCAGTTTCAAAACGCAAAAGTTAGTTTGTTCTGAACTGCTGTAGAAACATGGTAGATAAAAACCGCTCAGGTAACAAAAAAAATAACCATTCTTATTTTCAGGTGATTATACACTGATGAAAACCAATTTTTATTCTATTTTGTAATAGATATTTATATATACCTACATATTTTTTATTCCAGTAGCTCATCCTAACTGTTAAACATTGGACCTTTTTTAAAGTCTGTGTGAATTAAGTTAAAACAGACATAGGCTGTGGTCAATTCCTCCGCGTAGTCAGTTCGCATCGGAGGGACACTAACATGTAAACTGACTTGATTTGATTTGAAGTTTATATGCTTTCTGTGGATTTCACTGGAGGACACAGTCACATGGGTGTGTACTTGAAGAGAGTGTGTCCTTGACACTGGATTTGGCACTCCGGCTAGGAGCCGCTCTGCAGGTTGGTTTTAATGCTGCAGATCTGTAATTTCATCATTAATGGTCTGTCAGTTCATGCAGGTGCAGATTCTTTTGTCACTGCCATTTTTAAACTCCGCTGATCATTAGTTCACTGGTTGTAATGTGTGTATGATAGCCCCTGCCGCCTTTGTTGAGCCTGGTGAGAAGACACAGGCTGAAGCTAAAACCAGAAAAAAAACTGGAGAGCACATGTTGAGATTCAAAGAGTGCTATTGTACTTGAGGATGGTAGATGATTTTTTTTTTCTTCTTTTCTTTCTGCTGCAGCTGCCTGCTTTATAGTGTAGTCAGGTGTGTGTGTGTGTGTGTGCGTGTGTGCGTGTGTTTGGTGTGTGTGCGTGTGTGCGTGCGTGCGTGTGGACTTTAAGCACCTAAAAGATCAAGACCATACAT